GTGTGTGTGTGTGTGTGTGTGTGTGTGTATGTATGTATGTATGTATGTATGTATATATATATATATATCATTGCAGCCTTCAAGTGAATACTATGCACATTTTTTAAATGTAACATTATGTGCAAAGAATCAACAATTAAGTAGTATACTATAACCCAGAAATACTATTGACTACAGAAAAAGGAACAATAGTATAGTGATAAAAATTGCAAATTGATTAATCTATTTTGGTAAAAGAAGACGATTCCTGCGTTGGTTTGTAGCTGAAGTGTACCGGCATGTTTATTCGTATGATCAAAAAATATAATATAAGTAAAAACATCTGCGCATAAATTACTATTTGTACCACGTATACTATAGATGTACGACTTCATAAAATCAAGCAATGATTCATCGCTCAGTACATGTAAATAAAAAGGGAACCCTGAGACAGCTCATGTAATATATATTCTCAATAACAAAGCATACTTACCCCCTTCTAGAGCCATTTTAAGCTGATCGCGCTCGACTGTGAGTCTCTTGTTGATCACCTGCTGCTTTTTAATGTAAACCATCAACTCGTCCGGTGATTTGGACGCCAGTTTACTGGGCTTAGCGCCCGATGTATCAACCGCCGACATAATTGTCGATGTGTATAGCCTTACAACGGAGAACGGCTGTTCAAGCAATTATGAGGCAATTATGTCCAGCCGAAGTGAGTAAATTCCGGCTCTGGCCTATTCGCCTGTTTATGTGTATATATATCTATATGATGGTGTACCCGCTGACTTGAAGTATTCATAAGAACTGCCACATTAACCAGCATACACTCCCCACTGCCACCACACAAGTGTTCATCGAGTGCTACTAAGGTTTAATTTAGGCTACAAGGTCTAACAAGTCTTCTAAAGTCTACTATTGTATACATAAACACATAGCACTACCGCTACTACTAATTAGTAATTACGTACTACTACCCACTACAGCTAAGAAGTAGAATAGTAAATACACAACAGCCAACACAGAAGCTGTCAAGATCTGACTTTCTGTGATGGGGCGATTTTCATTGGTTGCTACGAGTCCGTCGGCTCACCCGTTTTAGGGTTTCTGTTTCTTGGGTTTGGATTGTGTTTTCTTGGGGTTTTTTTTCTTGCTGTTTTTGCAAAAGATTTTTTTTAATAAAAATAAAGGATTCTTACATCGGGCATCGTATTTATTCCAATCTGAACTTCTTTGCTTTCGATCTCTTCCTTCTACCTGTCCTTGCTGACCCACCCGTACAGAGTATAGACAGCCTTCCGTAGTTGATTCAAATACTTCCCATTTGGATCAACTTTCTTGACTTCTATCTCATCATCTAATAACGAATCATTATCCTCATCGCTAATCAACTCTGGTTCAAACTCTACATTTTGTGTAACTCCAGTAAACTTTTCGTTTGTTTGTCTCGTAAGTTGTGTCTCATCACCCGGCCATCACTCATGCTTTGACCTGTTCGACATGGCATACGCAACAGAAAATACCAATTACGAGTGTACATAAAGTAGTAAACAGTACGGCTACTTCCCATATCAGTGTTTGCTATCTTTGTGAGTGGCAACACGTGTCAATGGGGACCCTTGGAGAATCGTCAGGGGCTTTTGGGGGTTAAGTTGTGTAACATTCGACCTTAAAAGTGTCTTATATCGACCCAAATAGTGTATATAATGTCATATCCAAAATGGCCAATTTTTGACCTTTTTGGTCATGGTGGAGTTTGACATACCAAACAAACATATTTTTAAAAACAATTCCAAACGATGTTCAAGACCAGACCATGTAAAGATAGCGGGTTCCTAATAGTAGTTGCACAGCTAACGTATATTATAAACGTATAAATGTATTAACGTTTATACTTATAATTCCGGAATACGTTTAACGAATTGGACATGAACAAGAATTGCGTAATTCAAGATTCTGAACATGTGACAGTACACATTAAGAGTTATGGGATTTTACTGTGGACAATTAGGTGGCTTTTCAAATATAGATTGGTTTTTCCACTGAAATTAGAATTGTACATCATATAGAATGATACAAATCTGGCACCTGAAAATGACACTTTGGGAATCTCTATTTATTGGGAGTACCATGAAAGAGGGTCTCAGGCATGAAATGGTTGTTGGTACAAACCTATAGTATAATTCGAAAATGATCTCAGAGCACGATAATCCACTGACAATAGGACAGGATCAGAGCTGTTATAATTTAGGACAACATGGTTTTGATTCCTCCTAGCCAGCCAACTAGATGTGCCCGTCTATGCCTTAAATGGGATGGGGAGCTAGGTACCAAGTGATGGGGTATAGGTGCAGATGCATACTGCACCGAATTGGTGTTTTGATTTTCTTTTTATTTTCTTAAATTGGACTTAGAGGTATTTTATTTATTAGTTTGATTAGGTGATTGTTTCGAGGCGTGAAAAGTAAACTATGCGTCCAATGAAATGATATCTAGTCTTAGTAACTAAATAGACCGAAGTAGAGAGTGATTAGAGCGGAGCATATAGACAATAGACTCAGTCTAGACCCCCCTAATCTTTTAGCTCATTACCAAGGGCTGAAGTTAAACTTATTTAACATTTTGCATTCTAAAAAATTAAGGCACCACCAGCTGCTGCTGATGCAACTGAGGCCACGGCGACACAAGTAGCACCACCTCTATCTAAACGGAAACGTAAGAAGTTGGCTGATTCGGGTGTGGGCGCTTCCGGTGGGAGCGTGACAACTGAGCCGCAGAAGCCACCCGCGAAGAAGGTAAAGTCTAGAAGGTGAAAGGCCGAGAAACCGCAATCCTCGGAAAATTCAACTTCAGAGGAAGTGCGTCATGCACTGGAATCAGATGTACCATCCCCACCAGTGGACACACGCACGGCACGTAGGCAAGACCCCAACTATCATATGTTATCCCGAGATATGAGAACTTTCTTGAAAAACTACCAGCCAATGGTCCATGAACTGAGACCCACTAAACAGCGGAAGAAGAAACAAGCCGCTGCTGCGGATTAAGATCATGGTGAATCGGGAGAGGATGACTCGGAGGATGTACCCATGGCACACAACTTGTTGAATCAGCCCCAAATCAACGTAACGGAAGAACAACTGCGTTTCGTGGATATAGATCCGGATGATGTTGACAATACACTTCACTGTCAGGAGATGATTCGGACACCAGGCTGGATTCTCAATTCCTGCTTTTACCCAAAACACCACTCCGACCGGCTTGGCGACAGAACTTTGATCTGGGCCATCCAGACCAGGCTCAGATTAATATCCAGGAGGAGGGTCAACGAGAGCTGATTTGACAGCGGGCCAACCGAGCATGGGTGCTTCGAAACACGTATGGAACGTACTTTCCGGATGTAATGAAGATCACGCCGGATGGTACAATCTCGCCGAGGTATGTAATGAATGCAGCGGTAAGACATTTTGGGCATGATTTGTTTAGAGACTCCGAATACTACACGCGGCTATTAGCAAAGGAGACTGACGAGGGTAAGCAAGCACGCAAACTTTTTCGTCAGTTTCAGAAGATACTGCCTCAGGTATTCGGAACTAGGAAGGATGGAAGTTTTACACACTTAATTTGGTATACAATTCGCGATCTTCTTGGAGACATTCCTGATTTGATATCGAACCATTTGGCACTCTATCAAGCCATATTGGCATTTGAGATGTTGTGAGACAATGGAAAAGCAAACAGAATCCGATCTTCATCATCCGAGGCCCAATCTTCACCAGGATTGGACGCAACAGCAATGTCGCGTATGGCATCTGAACAGGAGCTTGTGCCTAATGCACCCGCGGAAGCTAATCCCCAGGAAGCCCCAGAGGCAGTTCCGAAGGAGAACTCGACCGAAGAGCCTAAACCTGATCAGGTGGAAGCTGAATCATCACGACATCGCCCCCCACAGCGGTACCGACGACGACACCTACTGCTGCCCCGTCAACCAAACCTACTGGAATACAACAAGTAGACGGAGCAAATGACAAAGCAGACAACTGACTGCATGGTCAGATGCAGTTAGATCAGAAGGAATCAGATCACACCAGTTGTGATTTGAAAATTGCAGATTTCACTGTTCGGATGAACAAAGCAGAGGCTGCTTCACTCGAGGCGATGGATCAAGGTAGGATTGATGCAGCTAGTCTATATATGTCTATAGCTACTAACTTCCAGACCAAGATTGATTCTGAGTTGAGGGTGATTCGGACGAAAAAGGCTGTGGAAGGCAAGAAGTTTGTTAAAGACATAGGTAAACTACCAACGACATACATATCTGATCGAAAGGACCGTAAGGATCCAATCGATACTAGCAGTCTGGCGTTGTTATCTAGGTCTTGAAAGGAGTTTGGACAGATTATGCCTACAGCCAATTTACGGAAGAACCTATGGTTCGAAGCAGCGCAACAGAGCTTTAAGCCGCCCTCTTACAAGTACAACAAGTTGGATAAGACGAAACAAGCGATCACTAAGCTGAAGACGTGGAAAGAGCAGAGTGAGATGATCGTTCATCTATTCTCGACGGACCCTCGACCGGAATTGCTCGTATCGATCATGATACCACCGGAAGAAGGAACGTCAGTGTCCCACTACCTACTGGAGTTGGACACACACATGTCAAGGGCCCAGACACAGAAGATGTCACCTGACATGCTAACAATGTGTGTACTATAGGTACAGACAATATTTTGGTCGAACCTGCATAGGAGAGATCAAGAGATCCTGTACACGGATATGCATCAATCTTACCCGGACAAGGTACGAGAGATCTCCATTGAGGGACCTACTTACGGCATTATGAAGCTTGCTGACTTAACCTGGCCTAAGTTTTACTCGAGAGCGGATCAGACGTTTACGAAACGTCTCAGTTCCGTGGTGAAAGTCACAAATGCTCAGAAGAAGGTCGGCGGCAATCTCACCGGAGGATCAGGCAATGGTCGAGACTCTCAGTCTACTAATGGAGGTCAGAAGGTGAACAAGGGAGGTGACAAAGGTGGCCATAAGAACAAAAATACCAACGGTTCTGATGGCAACAAGAACAATGTCATACCTAAGGGTAACCAGACCGCCAGAAATGGACCGCCGGCAGGCAACCCTAAGCCCAATCATAGGGAGGTCAAGAACTATAGTGAGACTGATTGCAATTGGCGGATGACCCAACATGGGCCGAATGGCAGATGGAATGGAAGGCACGCAGACAAGTGTAAGCACTTTGTTGCGAAGTGTGCCGACTGTACCGGGACTGGAGGTTACCACAAGCATACTTGCAAGGTGCAACCAAAGGTTAATGTTAAGTGACAAGCATACCGGGTCTTGTCACTACGATAAAAGGACACACCTTAAGACGAGCGTGTAATCCTAGATATACGAATTAATGGGCATGAAATAAAAACGTTGTTGGAATCGGGCTCGCAAATTTCATGTATATCATCTAGATTCTATAAGATGACAGACGTAACTCGTAAGTCAGAACCAACTATATTGAAACTGGCTGACGAAAGAGAGATCACTTGTAGAGTTATGGCGATCGATCTTAGGTTTGCTTTGACAGACCAACGTACTACTGTTACTAAGGCAGTCATACGTAACACATCACCTGGCTATGATCTCATAGTAGGCATGGGTGATTTATTGTCATTAGGTATCACAATTACAGGCTTAGCTACTAACATTGGACCACAGAAGGATCAGTCGGACAACAATTTGTTGAAACCGGTATATAAACCTTCGAAGACTGTGAAGGAGATGATCCCTCACTTCACAGAGAAACCCAAGGACTTGATTTTCGAGAATAACAAGATTCGGATCACGGACTGGGCTAAGTTCAAATTCAATAACGGATACGTTAGTCTAGACCTGACGAGAGTAGATTTCTCGAAGCTGAAGTGTCCTACACGTAACTATGTTACATGGCGTCATGAGCAGGTCGTACGAGAACAGGTTAGAGCATGGTTAGATGACGGAGTGATCACAGTCAACTATGAGCCGACTCCCGTCAACCTAGCGCTTTTAGCCGTCGACCAATTCAACTCTGACGGGACATTGAAGAAAGTTCGGGTGTGTTTGGATATGAGCCCAATTAACGCTTTGATACCGACACACAATTTTTACTTACCAAGGATAAACGAACTACTCAGGCGTATGGAGGGAGCTAGGATATTCTCCACTATCGACCTGGAGCAGGGCTACCACCAGATGAAGATCTACAAGCCACACCGGAAGTACTTCACCTTTACCTGAGAGGGACAGCAATATTCGTTCAAAGGTGCCCCCTTTAGGCTACACATGCTACCTGCATTCTTCCAACAGATCATACAAGATTTGTTTAGGGACATGGACAATGTACAAGTATACATTGATGTCATTGTGGTATTCACGAAAACCAAAGAAGAGCATGACAGGGTTGTGCGAGAGGTCCTAGACAGACTCAACAAGCACAACTTTAAGGTCAACAGTAAGAAGTGTCACTTCGGTGTTAGCGAGATTCAGCTGTTGGGTTACCGAGTATCCGGGGATGAAACCATGATCGATCCCAGGAAGGTCGAACACTTGCTAGACTGGAGAACTCCTACCACCGGGAAGGATGTCAACAGCATGTGCGGATTCGTCTACTTTTTGTCTGACGGGGTACCCCACCTGGCAAGTTACTTAAAGCCCTTTGGACATTTGAGATGCCATAAAGGCAAACTAGGCGCACTGTGGACCAAAGACTGTGATGACGCATTTAAGCAGCTCAAAACAGTGGTTCAGCAGGCACCAGTAGTCCAGCCACCGCGACAGACGCGTCCGACATGGCACTCGGCAGCGTTCTGTATCAAATGATTGACGAGAAACCAAGATATGTACATTTCTTTAGCAGGACTATGAATCGCCTCAGATCAATTACCCAACCGTGCAACAAGAGCTTTTGGCTATTGTGACTGCACTCACTCATTTTAAGGACTATCTATATTGCACGCACTTTAACGTGCTATGTGATCAGAAGTCATTGCAACACCTAAAGGACATGAAACCTAGCTCACAGATAGTCAGTCGGTGGCATGACACGATTGCAAAATTTCCTTTCGGCATAACACACATACCGGGTATTTACAATCACTTACCCGACATGTTGTCTCGCTTCGTACCAGACTTTAACAAGATGATGAGGGAGTTACTAGCTACGGATTGAATGGCCAAACCTAGGTGGTTTAAGATCGCTGACAACATACATGGACCACATACCATAGATATGTTTGCCGCTCATCATAACGCGCATGAGAGACTACAGTAGTGGACGTATTTCTATATACGTTAATAACGTTTTACGTCGTCAGCCCGAGAGTAATTTGGGACTTGTTCTCAAATTAATATAAGTATAGGTGGGTCAGCCCGAGAGAGGGTAAGAGTAATTTGAGACCTCTTCTCAGATTATTTTATTTATAAGATACGGGCCACCGGCTAGCCGAGAGCCGAGGTCCCAGACTGAGTGTGTTAACAGAGAATATAATATATTTATTTCTAAAAAATGAATCCGAGTGCTAAAGTGTTCTGCATAAGGTTTCTCATACTGATCGTATGAGTTTTTACCCTGGCCAACCCAAGTGGTTGAACCCTAGTACAAACACCATCAGTATATAACTGAGGATGAGATCATGAATAAATTCATTCGAATGTACCATACTTTAGATACACTAGCACTTTACTATTAGTCCCCCACATCGCACGCTAACAACTTATCAGGTCACTCTACTCTCGTGTTGGGTCAGCCCGAGAGAACGTAAGAATAATTTGAGACTTTTTCTCAGATTATTATATTTATAGGATACGGACCACCGGCTAGCCGAGGTCCGAGACTGAGTGTTGTAACAGAGAATATGGTATATTTGTTTCTAGAAGATATATCCGAGTGCTAAAGTGTTCTGCATAAGGTTTCTCATACTGATCGTATGAGTTTTTACCCTGGCCAACCCAAGTGGTTGAACCCTAGTACAAACACCATCAGTATATAACTGAGGGTGAGGTCATAAATAAATTCATTCGAATGTACCATACTTTAGATACACTAGCACTTCACTATTAGTCCCCCACATCGCACGCTAACAGCGCAACTGCCAAGGTACCGGACACTGGAACATCCGGAAGGAGACGGATTCCAGATAGACTTGTCTAACGAGAATGCCTCGGCAAATCCTCCATGGCTATTAATACCACAGTTGCTAAACTATGTACACATTCAACATGCTACCATCACGTTGTGTTGTCCCCTAAGACACTCAGATAGATGGCTACCACAGTTGATCTCAATGACACAATGTAAGCCGATCTATGTGGATAGAGAGGTAGATACTTTTCTCTACCAGGGTACCCGTGCAGTCCAGAAGACCCCTTGGCGACATACTATAATATGTCGAATAGGTCCATTTGGTACAGCCAAGTGGACACCATCCGAGACATTCAAACAGAAGGTTGAGGAATCCAAGATTCCACTCTTGACGCCTAAGTCTCAAGCCGAGACTGGGATAACACAAGCACCTGCAGTATGTGTTACCGAGGTACAGCCAAATTCAAAAGGATCAAAGAGGAGCGCAACACTAGCGAAAGCCTTCTACAAGAAGATACGGTCTGACAGGGAAACTGCATACCAAGCAGAGACTCGATTGCTTAAGCAATTGATGAATGACTTCCCTGATGTATACGATCATGGGATTCAACTAATGGATAGATCAAACATTAGTCGGATTCACGATTTAGAAGCTTTAGGCGAGATTGGACAAGACGAGTCTTCAAGTCCAGGTGATGACGCGGTGGAATCCTCACCTCCTGATTTCGATGTTACAAGTAGATCACAGGAGGCGATTTTGAAGTGGTTAAGACAAAATCACGCTCTTAAGCACATGGATAAGGTTAGAACTGAGAAAGATTGCAAGAGGTACGGAATCGAGCACCCGAACCTCAAGCCATATATATCTCAGGTGTATCACGAATGTAACG